CCCCGGAGAGACCAGCATCATTGACCCAAACCACAATCAAGCTGACGACCCAAAGTGAGATGTCAACCAAAACTTCCCATGCTTGAAACTTTCATTTCGGGTAGTTGCTAGTGACACTGCTAGCATGTGAGTGATGAGGAGGAGAAAGAGAACCACTTTATCTAACCAATCACGCGCCATCCCTTTCACCGGAGTGTGTATCAGCACGCCACTAGTAACATAAGCGTGTGAGCTACATGCGCTAACACCGCCACACCCAGCCCCTTTGAAGGTTGCTTTCAAAATCCTCAATGAATTTTTGAACAATACTTAACATGTTACTGGATATATTGATTTCAAAACCGTCTCTAAAGGTTTATTTTCCATGTTCATGTGAAGGTGATTTTTTTTTAGTTTTCGGGATACTTTTCAAAGGAACAACAATATATGCAATTAACTAGCAATCTTTAGCACTAATACACAAGACAGGACGGTAGAAATCTCACCTTCTCAAGCGAAGATTGAATCAGTTGAATATCTGGTTCTAATTTCCAAACAAGTAACGGGCATTATATTGTTTTTTCTTGTCCATCTTCAGGAAACGGTGGGAATTAAGGATCGAAACTCTCAATTATCCTGAGGAGATCAGGGGCCAGACCACATAATCTGATGACATTTCTCCTGTATCTTTCTATCCAAACCTGAAAAGATGTTTAAGAAATGATTAAGGGAAAAACTCCAAGAACCAGGTCCATGTTCATTGAACAGAAAGTATATAAGGTGGTTAATTGGAACTAGATAAACTGAAATGTAGTTATGTTTTAAGCTAAGCCCATGAATGATGCAACAATTGCGTACCTTTTGCGTTGGGAACCTGGAGCAATTTACGCAAAGCATTCCTTGCACAAGCATAAATTCCTGCTCCAAAGGTTCATTTTCTATAAACCTTAGCAATAAAATTTGTAATTGCTGAAAAAGCTCAGCACTGTGGTTGCAACATGCAGGGTTTCCAGGCTGGCAAGAGATTTTTTGAATCAGTTAAGTGTACTGGCAGTGGAGGTTGAGCAAAATTGAGCAACATATGCAGTTTCAATATCTTCATATGGGTCATTCTGTACCTGCTGCAGATGCTCTGTTTCAGGTTCTTCTAGCTTTTCAGAGAAGGCAGCGGAAGGGTGATGTCAGATTCTTGGAAGCAGGCCTTGGAGGAGTTGTGGGAGCGTAGCAGCCTGCAAAACAACAGAACATTTATTTCTGATGAAAACTAGGAAATTGTTTCACTGTACAGGAATAACTCTTTCAAGTATCAGAAACTATTTTAAAAGGTTGGAAACGAGCAGCACTGAAAAAGGAAAACAAAAGCAAGCAGAGACAGCAAAATCCTTCAAGTCAGGAGTTTATCGGACAGCCATGCTTTCAAAACCTTAATAGGAAACGAAAAAAGAAAAGGAAATGCATGAGAAAGGACTTGAGCAGCAATGGTATGGTAGTGTTACATATAGGCAAACTCTAAATACAATTGGAACACAACAGCACTAAGATATCCAAAAATAAATGTGGCAATTCTACTAATCTCAGTAATGTTTCGGGTAGTCTAATTCTGAATCAGACGACGACCCAAACATATGCCAAGGAATGTGACACTCACATGGAAAGATAAACTAAACGAGCATGGCTGCATGGCAAGCATAAGGGAAAAAACACAGAATAATTATGTCCCGAGTCTCCAAGGGAATGCAGCAAGCTAGATTTCATACCACCAAAGCATGCTAATTAAAAATCAATTGCAATAAAAAAAAACATAAATCAATCAGAAAGAACTGGATCAAAGCGTAGTGACATTTACCAGAGTCATTAAGCAACTGCACACTCATCCAATCAAATAACATCCGCTCAGAGTAATGGTCATACAGAGCATCAAACCCACCCCACCATTGCCTTCCTCCATTCGTTTGAGTTCGTCTCACCTTTCCCCTCCTCTTCCTCCTCCTCTTCAGCACATGACTCTTCTTCAGGAATCAGCACCATAAAACAGTTCCTTCTCAGTTCTTTCAACCTCCTCTTTACCTCAGTGGTTATAAAATCATCATCATTGTCATCGTCCTCAGCTCCAGCTCCAGCTACAGGATCAGTGCTGGCTGATTTGTTAGTTACATTGTCACCACCTCCACCATTCTAATTTCTTGACTCCTCTGGCTGTGACCACAGGCTTATCTTCTAAATCCTTTTCTGGGTCTGGTTTGTGGGTTTTCCTGAGCCCTTTCACTTTAAAGAAATCCATCAGCCACCAACCACTAATCTCTTCTTTCTTCAAAATCGCATATAAAAAAGAAAGAAGCTTGGAAGATATAAAATCGAATAATTTGTTTTTTTGTTTCTTCTATTATCGCATATAAAAAATAATGTTCATTTACCATTTTACATTTAAAATTACCATAACTATCCTACACATTGATGATTTATGGCATTTTCAGGCCACTCTACAGTGCCAAAGATCCCAGGAGGCCAAGACCATCGTGAAAAAATTTACATTGATGATCTCCTATTTTATTTTCCAGAAAACTTAGCGAAGTGCTCAACATATTCACTAAAAATGAAGATCGGATGCTCTTTCATGAAAACATACCATACATATTCAAACATGAAAACACATATTACCCAACTCTACAAAAAGAACAAAAGATCCTAAAACCAAAATAAGAAACACAAAATAATCTAAACTCACCAGAGCTGTTTGCGTATTTATTTGTTTCTCATTTGCAGAATTAGGGTAGCATCCACTAATGCCAAACTACATTAA